GATACGAATATCGTATCGGATAGGGAAGAACTTCGAGCGTTCTTCAAGCTCCGAGAAAGGGGAGGCAAAGAGAGAAGGAAAACTTCGAGCGTTTCCGAGCTCCAAGTGAATAGAGAAGGAGATTAGAATTTTGATATTTCTTTATTGATTGAATAATAATAATACGAGAGTACAATATATAGAGATACGAGAAATCCTAATTAACCTAATGGGAGTGGGCCCCATACTAAAACCTAATCATGAGTACCTATATAATTCTACTAATTAATAAATAACTAATTAAATAATATAATTCATCTTCTGTATCATTCCCACCCCCTTAAAAACCACCTTGTCCTCAAGGTGGAGGTTCCCACTCAAGCTTTTGGACATGTGAAAACGTGCTGAACCAGACAAGATGTCTAGTTGTAGACCAATCTTCAAAAAACTTCTCAGATGAAGTATACCGGTAGAAATAAGAGAGAAGACCAAACTTGCATTAAACTATTTTATTTGAACCCCAGTGCTCATACTTGACAACATCGGTAAGCTCAAATAACTTGATGGTGTCAATAGGGGATCATGCTTGCTTATCATCTGCATCTGCCACTTTGTCAACACTTTTTGGAACATCATACTTTGCAATGGCCACTCCGGTATAAAATTCCTGAAAAGTAAAATCTGACTTATCAACATTAGCAACATTTTCTCGAAGAGGACCTTCATTTTTTTCCACAACGTTGGACCCCCCGTCATCTTTGTTTATTCCTTCAGGCCCGGTGTCCACTTCATCTCCAACTTGTGAGTCAACGTTTGATTCCACCTTGGATGCTTGATCATGTGCTTCATTGTGTTGCTCAAATACTGTAGAGACCAGATTTGGCATAGAAGGTGGAGTATCAATGAGAATTTTTATACCGCCCAACATGTTTGTTCTAAAATTTTGTAACTCCAAAGGAATCAAACATGACAAAATTGGGGGTCCACGGAACAAATCCTGTATCGCGCAAGAGATTTCAATGTCAAATGTGTGTAAGTCAGAATCATAATTTGACTGACCTTCAACATGACGAAATGACTGGAGATTCTTTAAAATTTCATCTACGTAATCGTAAAGTGCGCATACTCCTTCGCCGTGCTCAATTTCTTCATATAGAATATTCTCTAGCAAATTAATAAGCTTGTCGAGTGCACATGTACACATAATCAAAGCCTCTAAGCGCGTGAATTGGGCCTCCATTCGTAATGAAAAATTCTGCTCCATTTGATAAAATATGGATCGGGTCGGAGCACCAGTCAACCCACAGCTGGAAATCGGCCCTAGTCCAATTATTTCTGCGAAATGGCTTGTGCGATATAACTTTGTGCTCTTGCAGCAACTGTGAATTATGGGATTGTGTTGCTATGTTTTTTTTTGTTCAAACACGGCAGGTTGCAACATCCAAAGATTATTGTTGCGCTTGAAGCTCCTCCTCTATTCCCTTGTGGTTCTGCAATTGTCGCAGCGAACGGGGGATTGCAGCGGCACAAGAATCTGGCAATTGAATCTGCGGGTGATTGTGATTAACTCTGGGGCAGATGTTGCAGTTCTGTGTTTTTTGTTTTTTGTTTTTTTTGAAATTTCTCTCCATGAGAGCACCAATTGATACGAATATCGTATCGGATAGAGAAGAACTTCGAGCGTTCTTCAAGCTCCGAGAAAGGGGAGGCAAAGAGAGAAGGAAAACTTCGAGCATTTCCGAGCTCCAAGTGAATAGAGAAGGAGATTAGAATTTTGATATTTCTTTATTGATTGAATAATAATAATACGAGAGTACAATATATAGAGATACGAGAAATCCTAATTAACCTAATGGGAGTGGGCCCCATACTAAAACCTAATCATGAGTACCTATATAATTCTACTAATTAATAAATAACTAATTAAATAATATAATTCATCTTCTGTATCAGAGATTGTTGTTTTGACTTCTCGATGTCGGTAAAACTACCTCTGTTTGCTGCTACGTTTTTATTGGGAT